TCTTCAGAAATGGGGGAGGGGAAGGGGGTTCTGAAATAATTAGGGAGGGAGGGGGAGGCGGATAGAAGATGGATAGAGGAGAAGATAGGTGGAGAGGAGACAGACTGTGTGTTCAGTTTGGAGATCCATTGCTGAGCAAGGATGGTTTTTTGGCAATGGATGGAGTGCTGCAAAGTTTTCCCAGACTGACTACTGGGGCGGCACGGTGGTTCAGTGATTAGCACAGCTGCCTTACAGCGCTGGGGACCCGGGTTCGATTCCACCCTCGGGCGACTGTCTGCGTAGAGTCTGCACATTCTCCCCGTGTCTGCGTGGGTTTCCTCCCACAGTCCAAAGATGTGCAGGTTAGGGTGGATTGGCCATGCTAAATTACCCATAGTGCCCAGGGATGTGCGGGTCAGGGTGGATTGGCCATGTTAAATTACCCATAGTGCACAGGGATGTGCAGGTTAGGGTGGATTGGCCATGCTAAATTACCCATAGTGCCCAGGGATGTACAGGTTAGGGTGGATTGGCCATGTTAAATTACCCATAGTGCACAGGGATGTGCAGGTTAGGGTGGATTGGCCATGCTAAATTACCCATAGTGCCCAGGGATGTACAGGTTAGGGTGGATTGGCCATGCTAAATTACCCACAGTGCCCAGGGATGTGCAGGTTAGGGTGGATTGGCCATGCTAAATTACCCATAGTGCCCAGGGATGTGCAGGTTAGGGTGGATTGGCCATGCTAAATTACCCATAGTGCCCAGGGATGTGCAGGTTAGGGTGGATTGGCCATGTTAAATTGTCCCATAGTGTGCAGGTTCGGTGGGTTATAAAGGGATGGGTCTCAGTGAGATGCTCTGAGGGTCGGTGTGGACTTTTTGGGCCGAAGGGCCTGCTTCCACACGATAGGGGTTCTATCTGAACTCTATGTGGAAAAATAGAGATTGCTGGAAAAAGCTCAGCAGGTCTGGCAGCATCTGTGGACAGAAATCAGCATTAACATTTCGGGTTGAGTGACCCTTACTCGGAACATGATTCCTGGGATGCCAGGACATGACGTATGAAGAGAGATTGGATTGGTTTGGAATTCGCTGGAGTTCAGACAAATGAGGGTGGAGTCTCATAGAAACCTATAACATTCGAACAGGACTCGACAGGGTGAACACAGGAAGGATATTCCCGATAACCGGGATGTTGGGGGAGCCCAGAACCAGGGGGTCACAATCTAAAGGGGTAGGACTGAGATGAAGAGAAATATCTTCACCCAGAGAGTGAGGAGCCTCTGGAATTCTCTGCCACAGAAAGTGTTTGAGGCCGAAACATTGAATGTTTACAAGAAGGAGTTAGAGATAGTTCTTAGGGCTAAAGGAATCAAGGGGTATGGGGGAGAGAGTGGGAAACAGGGGCTGAACTAGAAGATCAGCCATGATGTTATTGAAGGGCCGAATGGCCTGCTCCTGCTTCTATTTATCGTGCTTCGTCCTTTCTAATGTTCAGAACTATCAAAGGTCTAGAGAGAGAGAGAGAGGCTGCGATGAGGATTGCTGTGTCTTGTGCTTTAAGCCAATGCACAGTGCGATCCCGCTTGGGACAAGCCCCGGGCTGTTTGGGAGTCTGAAACGTCCAGTCCAACCCCAGAGACTGTCGGCCAACCACCAGCGAGGAAGGGTCCTCGGCTCCCGGGACAACCTTATCGTTGCGTCTGGACGGTGTCTGTTCGCCTCAGGCCACCCTCCGTGCACTCTGCCCAGAGGTGGCGGCTGTTTGACTGACCTCAGGGTCACCTCCTCACCTGGCCCTCCACGAGGACCCTCCTCGTTCCCATGAGGAACGGTCACGTGCGACGGGAAGCAAAGAGGCTAGGGGTTTGGGAAAGCCGTCGAGAGGTCCAATTGGAAATGGGATCCTTGGTTGCCAGTGTTGTGGGTGTGGGGGGAGATGGGGAGTGAAGCCCAGGGGACAGAGAGGCCAACACAGTTGGGGTGAAATGGGTCAATGATGGGGGTCGTTGGAGGGGGAGAAGGGAGGGGAGGATTACAACGGCTGATTTGGAGGAGAAAAGGTAGGAGGGGTGCAACAGAGGCAAGAGCATGGGCCGATTGGGCCCAGTGTCTTTGGTAAAGGCCCAAGGTACGTTCAGAGTAGGAGCGGCTCACTTACTTGTCTTCTTCACTGAATCCACTGAGCAGCATTAAGGAAGACAGCAGAAGGTTAGACCGAGACAGGGGCGAAGGCTAACATGGTACAGTCCTGGGCATCGTGGGAGACATCGGGGCGGGCCAGGAAGACCCACGAACACAGTCACCTCAGGCAGGGGTCAGCTCCCCATATCCATCGCACCAAGGTAGGGAACATGCTCCTTCCCACTGGTAATCAGCTCAGTACCAAACCCTCCCAGGGATAGGGACAGCACAGGGCTAGATACAGAGTAAAGCTCCCTCTACACTGTCCGCCATCAAACACTCCCAGGGCAGGGACAGCACAGGGTTAGATACAGAGTAAAGCTCCCTCTACACTGTCCCCCCATCAAACACTCCCAGGGACAGGGACAGCACGGGGTTAGATACAGAGTAAAGCTCCCTCTACACCGTCCCCCCATCAAACACTCCCAGGACAGGGACAGCACCGGGTTAGATACAGAGTAAAGCTCCCTCTACACCGTCCCCCCATCAAA